TCGAATTTAGCATCGCTGTCCCTGCTGCATAGTGACCTGCAGCCGTGCGTTCCTTCCCGGGTGCTATAAAGCAGACTTCAAAGTTTTGTGTTTTAGTTCCGTGCGACGTCGTCCACTGCGATCCTGGTAACTTAGCAGCACAGGGGAATGTCTGGCCAAAGCCTAATTCAAATTGAGCACGTCGACGTCAACGCAAGGACTGGGTTTGACAGCGACAGGACACGAGGGACAGACTCCGAGTCGTTGACATCGCATATTTGGTTACGACACGTTCCACCAGCTTCTGACGCGTGACGTCTACATAAATTAACTGTTGATGCATGCAACGGTTTTCCTCTTCGCAAACTAGTGATTCACTGTCTTCAAATTCGACAGAAATTTCATAAGTGATTTAATGGCGTGTTTGCGGAGTCTTGGGCATGTTCTTGTATTAATATTCGGGTAATTACATAGATATAGGTAATATTCGAGCGCGAGGCGCAAAGAATCCGGCGCGCTCTAACTCAAGTGGGAATGGTCTTTGCCAATGCAGCCTTAATCAAACTTGCCGCATCACCAAGACGCTGACCGGCGCCCTGCTGGGTCGGGCACAACCAGCTACACTGTAAATTGACCAAGTTCGGTAAGACGTCAAAGTTGTCAATTACGACGGCTGCACGGTTTTGCCAAAAATCGCATCTCTGACCGTCTACTTGCTTGTGGACACACGCCCAATGCTGAAAGTGGCAAATTTTATTGACTGGGTGTTTAAAAAATTGGGACGTTTGCAGAGAGGTGGCGGGTGAGCCAGAGTGTTCAGGAGTGCGTGGCGCAGGCAATATTTCGAACTCACTGCCAAGGACCTCAGGTCGGATAGTGCCGGAACGGCGGCAAATGTGGCGTCACGTCACGTCACGTCACGGGTGCAGTGACGCGACCGGCCGGTGTCTAATTTAGACCAAATCGGGAATAATTGCGATCATCAATCAAGTGCTTTGAGGGGCCAGCCCATCCCACAACTGCCAACCCTTTCATCCTGACCACAACCACCACCTCCACCGCCGTTGCCTCCCCTTCCCCTCGTCTTTGGACGCCGTTTATTCAAATAAACTTACTCGACGACGACGATCACTCTACTATCGGTTATACGCCGAGTTGTGATAGACAAGCTGAGATGGGCAACTGCGTATCGACGACGGACCGTGCTGGGAAGGACCGCTCGGATCTCATTGACAAACATTTGGAAGAGGATAACAAGAAATTCAAAAAGGAGTGCAAGATTCTTCTCCTAGGTGAGTCTATTGCTCATTAGTTCCTTGTCCATTCTCCATGGCGCCGTGGCGAATGGCCAAATTTTGCGTGATGTCTTTAATTGACTATCATAACGATTTGATTACATCGAACTGACTTTGTTCACCTCATAGGTTCGGGCGAATCAGGCAAATCCACTGTCGTCAAACAAATGAAGATTATACACCAAGGCGGCTACTCCCCCACTGAGCTCATCGAGTTCCGCCCAGTCATCTACAAGAATGTACTCGACTCGGCCCAGGCTGTTATACTCTACATGCGCAAGCTCGGGCTCGACTGCGCCGAGCTCCCGAATCGTGTCCTCGCCGACAAGATCCTCGCATACCGCCTAGACTCCATGGCCGAGTTTGATCATGCGGTGGCAATCGCAATACACCAGGTGTGGAAGGATCCAGTAATTCCGAAGGTTATGGATGAACATTCGAGCGATTTCTATTTGATGGATTCGGCTTCATAGTATGTGCCCCTCTCGCTTCTCCTCCTATCCTCAATTAATGGACTGTGTAGCTTCTTTGGCGAGGTGCTACGGATAGGGACACCAGGTTACCAGCCAAACGTGACTGACGTGCTTCGTGCACGACAGAAAAGTCTTGGCATAGTGGAGACCCGATTTGTTGTTGGCCAACTATCGTATGCCCTTCTTTGATTTCTACCAATCAATTGCTAACGCCATTACAGAATACACATGTTTGACGTAGGTGGGCAGCGCTCAGAAAGGAAGAAATGGATACACTGCTTCGAGAGCGTGACAAGCATAATCTTTTGCACCGCGCTCTCCGAGTACGACCAGGTCCTTCTCGAGGAGAAGACCCAGAACCGAATGACCGAGTCATTGGTCCTCTTCGAATCAGTCATCAACTCTCGATGGTTTCTGCGCACATCTATCATCCTCTTCCTCAACAAGATTGATGTCTTCAAGAGCAAACTCCCGAAGGTGCCCCTGGAGAAGTATTTCCCAGAGTACACTGGTGGTGCAGACATAAATAAGGCGGCGAAGTATGTCTTGTGGAGATTCATGCATGCGAATCGGGCAAGGTTGAGTGTATTTCCACAGTGAGTGTCACATTTACTCTCTTCTCAAGCCCTGCCCGCTGATGTTTCGGCTCTTTCAGTCTTACGCAAGCAACCGACACACAGAACATACGGCTAGTCTTTGCCGCCGTGATCCTGTTTTCACGGATATCCATCACCATCCACCTTTTGCATATACCTTACTTTACAGCATCTACTTTTGTTTCCCCTTCGAAGTCTTCTCGGGTTTCCCGGCGCCTTGTCTTGTCTTGTACTTCTCGCGACGACAATGACGTGTGGCAGATCGTCGTGCGGTGTGGTGGGCGACCCGTCAGGTGATACAGCGCGTCTGACAGATGTGGGATGGCACCGCAGCACAACGTTGCACTGCATTGCCTGCGCGACAACGTGTGCTCGGAGGCTTCTCGCCGCCGACGGTCGTGGCTTCGATATGGTATTTGGGTGTTCGAGCGCGACGATCTGTCATGGTTTTTCGTTTCGACCGCAGTTTCGCTTTATCCCTTCTCACTTTCAAACCCGTGTCTTTCCATAACGTATACTGACAACGCCCGTTTTTCTCCTGCAGATATCCCCGCAAAACACCGTCTTTGTCTCGCTTTCCAGCTCTCTTTTTCTTGCATACACACGCCGCATCTCCCCACTCCTCACCTCATTCATCAATGCATACTATCATTCTTCCACTCAATCATCCATCTCTCATCCTGAATGCCATCACGACCAATCTACGACTGCATATATCTTCATCTGAATCTTCGTTCTGTTGTACCTCAGTGTACATTCCCTGATCGTCCAACTCCGCTCTACATCATATACTGATAGTGGAGACGGCCACACCACACCACACCAGGCGGCCACCTGCGGCCACGCGCTTTCGGCGACTCGCACCGGTCACCGGCTCTTTTACGGGTCTCTTCGAGTCACCGAAATGCCTTGCCATCACTCAAGCTCAGGCCCCAGGCCCAGGTTTCTTGGGCCTAGGCTTTGCAGCTCTGATGTTTTCTTGACACTCTCGCCCCTGCTGGATTGCCACCCTCATTTTGCTTTGAATCCATATTGCTCACGACGACCTTCATTTATCATTTCCTGCTTATCGCCTCATGTCTACTCTATTAGTAAACCTTACGAACGAACATTTCGGTGACACTTGTACTATGAAGAGTGTCTTTGTACTATAGTCTTACATACATATGTATGCCCTGCCTTCCTTTCCTATCTTCTTGTCGTTTATAGCTCTTGGAGCAGGACTACGTATGTTTCCGATTCTTGGGCTTGGGATAGAGAGGCCCGCGTACTATTACTTGCTATCTTATCGACGCATAATTATATATCAAGTGCAAAACGTGTTTACGGGTGTTTCCTCTACCAGCAGTCATGTCATTCTACGATGTGGCTCGAAAGTATTTTTTGATAACGTCTGTTATCATAGGACCCTGCACTCTTTTCTTCGATGCCCCCTTTGGCCGTTTCACTCTAAAGAACCAATCTAGCATATTCCTCGTAGATGGTGTGCATGTTCCACTCCAAACCCGTTTAACCTCCTAATATGATTTAGGAATCAAGTCATGGATTGTAATGGAGCTCGTGGCGCCGACCTCTTTCTTGTGCTTCTTTCTGTCATCGCCCACACGTCCACCTCTCGTATCAACCCAATCCTTTCTTACCTCCCTCTACCTATTGCACTACCTCAACCGCGCGCTTCTCTCACCCCTACGCACTCCCTCTCGCTCCAAGTCCCACATAGCTGTGCTTCTTGCAGGTATCGTCTTCAACATCACCAACGGCTTCCTCCTGGGTACCTACATCGCCTCCCCCGCCGCGGGCGCGTACCTCACCGATGCTCTCGCTCGCCCAACTTTCCTGATCGGCGTAGCGTTCTGGTTTTTCGGTGCTGCCGGCAACATTTGGCATGATGAGATACTCCTTAATATCCGACGCAAGGCCCGCTCCAAGGGCAAGGCCCGCGACGGCACATCCACGGAACACTACGCCATCCCACATGGCGGCCTCTACGCTCTCGTGTCGTATCCCAACTACCTCTGCGAATGGGTCGAGTGGGCAGGATTCGCGCTCGCCGCGTCACCCCCGCCCTTCTTTTGGCCTTCTTTTACGTCTCCTGCGACGCTGTTGAAAACACCAGCAGCTGCGTTCGCACCCTTGCTCACGCCGCCCTATGTGTTTCTTCTCAATGAGCTCGCTCTCATGCTCCCCCGCGCCCTGCGGGGCCATCGGTGGTATCAAGAGCGGTTTTTAGGGACGTACCCGCCCGAACGCCGCGCAGTCATTCCGTTCCTCCTCTGATACTTCTCCTTTCGTGTCTTACTTATGAGTATCTGGTCACCTAATTCATGCTTCATGTCCTCGGATATCAACGTCACATAACAGCCAGTTAGCCTTCTTGATAAACTATCACATGATTCAGTTGCTAGATCCCCCATCCCTTATCGAGTGGGTCAAAGGCAAGGCGAAAATTGTGGACGCAGTAAACTTCTTGAAGTGCACAACACTTTCATGATGGATGTTGATAGTGTTGGTCTGGAGGAAACCAGTACCCTCTTGGAAAAAGCCCGAAAAAATGAGATGGTGGCTGTTGGACGAGGATTTCGTCGCAAGCAAACACTGTTGCTGTAGGGTACATTTTGTCGCCTGCCGCAAAGAAAAATGTACACTCTGAATGAGGGTGACCGAGACAGGGGTCGAACCTGCAATCTCCTGATAACAATCATAAGTATGAGAGTCGTAGTCAGACGCGATGCCATTTCGCCACACGGCCTGAAGGTGAACCCTTTGACTTCTCATACATGGGGGTGGTTTCGTTTGGCTTCTTCTTGTTGGAGCGCCGGAATCGATGAGTATGAGGTTAACATTTGCCCTTGATGTTTCCTGTTTCATTTGTTCAGAGAATGTATGTAGCAATATTGCCCCGAATCTCGGACTTTCTCCTCAGGCATTATTTGTGCCATGCCCCCGCAGGCGGGCTAAACAAGGCACTAATTACTCAGGGGCCGTGTGGCGAAATGGCATCGCGTCTGACTACGACTCTCGCAAGATTGATATCAGGAGATTGCAGGTTCGACCCCTGTCTCGGTCACATCCTTGAGGGTATACGTTTTTCATTCCTTAACCTGCAGCCCCCAACCTCGCACAACCAGTTGGAACCCACCTTTGTTTTGCGCGGCTGAGCTGTACCTACTTATAACACAATCAGGTCGTGCATGTCTTGGCCTGCTATGGGCCTCCAATCTACTGATTTAATTCTTTCTCTTCTCATTTTTAATGGAATAATAGATTCCAGCAAGGATTCTAGCCGGAATGATGAACGCAAATTTGGAAAGTAAAACCTGAAGCAAAATTATACAACTGTTACTAAGATAATAATATCCCAGCCTTGTTTCAATACATAAGGTTTATTGCCAAGTTGTATTCCGAAGCATCCGAATCGTACTCCAAAGGCAAAGAGGTTAGCGGAGAAAAGGATTGATTGTCATTGTCCTCTTTGCGCTGCTTTTGGGTAACGACAATATCAGTCTGTGTCTGTGTAACACGAGCGTCCCCACCGCAAATATATGTTTGTACATGCTGGACCTTATGCTGTCCAAGCAGGCGAAGAATGTCGGCCTCAGGTTCTAAGCTGTGCGCCCGCCACCCGTCTTTCAGGAAATATTTCTGGCTGGTAGCTGCATCGTAAACAGGGTAACCAAGTGCATCATCCGGTTTGTCCAGACAATGCCAAGCAATGAACTCACAGTCTAAGAATCTCTGAGAGACAATTGCGCCAGCGCAGTCCCAACATATAAAGCGGACAAATTGCCTGAAAAGAAATATGGTGAATGCATGGTTACAATGTTGGCGGATTTGCCATTCACTGGCGTAATGATAGAGCTCGCCACAAGTCCTTATACCCGCATCAGAGCATTTTGATAAGAACACCTCCAGCAGCCATAAAATCAATCCTAGCACGTATCTCGCTGACCTCAACCTTGACAACATAAGTTGGTTCGGAGAGCTGGAGCTTCACAGTGAGCTGAAGCCTAGTCACACCCAGGACGCCTTCCAGGATCCTGAATGGGACTTCAGCAGACGGGTTGACTATTTTAAATTTGTCGCCCAAAAGGTCAC